CCTTTTGCAACAAGTCTGGCCTTGTACCTGGTGATTTTCCCATCACCATCCCTTTTCAATCTGTAAGTCCACTTGCAATCCACAAGTGATCTGTCTTTGGGTAATTCTTCCAGTTGCCATGTGCTTAGGAAAGTCAATAGATTGTATTCTTCATCCATTGCTTTCTTCCAATGATGCCAGTCTGGCCTTGTTTTAGCTTCTTCAAGGCTTAATGGCTCATCACTGAGATTGTCTGCAGTTTCCCCAATACATGCATAGTCTATTGCAACATTTATGGCTTCTAAAGATGATTCTTCTGAGGTACGCTGTTGTTCCAATGTTTTCACAGCTTGTACACTTGGATTATGAAGTGTCCGGTAACTCGGTTGAGTCTTTGATGCAATCTGGACTGATTTGTCATATAGCTCGATCACTTTCCTATGCCATATTGGGAAATTTGATTTGATCAATGACACATTAGGGACTATTTCCCCTTTTGGTTCAGCATTTCCAGCATCCATGGAATCGTCCGAAATGCCATTATTTCCATCCAGAGTCTGCTCGACTTTGCTCCCTGACTCCCTCTCGAGTGACGAAGAGTGGGAGGCTATATAGTCAGTGTCTATAGACTCTGTAGTGTTGTTTTCAGAGAATATAACATTTCTTGAGATCTGAATCTGCCTGGTTTGAGGGTTATAATATCTCCAGGCTCTGAATTCATCTGTAAGACCTGTGAAAATAAATTCTCTTGACTTTGGATCTAGTTTTGACCTCTTGTTATCTTGCTGCAACACCCAGCACTTTACTCTGAATTCCTGAAGTGCCAAAATATCTGGTTTCATACCCTGAAACACTTCTTCTGGGGTTAGATCATTCTTGATGGCCCTGATTGGTGATCGGTTCTTCAAATATATGGCATATGCCACTGTCTTGGGCCATAGAAACTTCGATAAGTGATGTTCTTCTAGCATGGCATGTGCATGCTCTACAAGAGTCTGATTTATTCTCTCAGCAACTCCATTTTGAGATGGAGAGTATGCTGCAGTCAATTTCAACTGTATGCTATTGTCCTGGAGGTATTCCTTTACCTCTTCATTGACATATTCCTTTCCATTGTCAATCTTCATAAACTTCAGATCCTTCCCTTTGTGGACTTTGATGTATTTTTGATACTGCTAGATCTTCTTTCAAATTTCCATACCTTGCTTTGACTTCAAAAAATACAATATTGTCTTTCAGGATTTTTCATCTGTGAAGCTTATATAATACCTTTCACCATGGATACTCTGAGTTTGGGCCAGCCCCCATAGATCTGAAAATGTCATTTTCTTTATTTCAGTATAGTTCTTTTTGGCTTCTTGTGGAAATGGCTTGGTATGATGTTTGGCTTTTATGCAAGCTATGCAATCTGTCTGAGGCTCAGCTGACTCATCTATATCCATCCCCTTGACCATTTTCTTTCTAAATAGTCTCTTTACTGATCTCATATTTAAGTAGCCTAATGTATTATGCCACTTTTGCCATGATCAGGCTGATTTTGTAGCATGGGCCTGGGTTATTTCTGGAACAATAATGTCAAGGCTGTACAGCTTTGATATTTTATCTCCATGGCCGATTATCTTGCCATGTGGTGAGATAATATCCATTCTGGACTCTTTGAATCTGAGTTCAAATCCAGCATCTGTAATGTGCCCTATCGACATAAGATTGAATGGTGCATCAGGGCAGTGGATACACTCCTTTAGTGTGACTGGAGTGATCTTTTCCCCTTCAACCATTTTAATCTTGACAGTTCCCCTTCCTAAGCCTTTGGATTTGCCTACACCAATGACTTCATGTCTTGGGGTTTCAACATAGTCAGAAAAATATAATCTATTTCTGACTATATGTCTAGTGGTGCCAGAGTCTCCTAGCTATGATACTTCTGAGAGTGAAGTAAGTGCGACATCTGTTGCACAAAATACATAGTCATCTTCTTCTGAGTCCGATTTAGCAATATGTGCCTGAGTCTGGCCCTTTCCCTTTCCTTTCCATGACTTTCCAGAATTCTTTTTCCCATTTGGGCAATTTGTTCTGATGTGACCAGTTTTCTCACATTCGTAACATATGACTTTTGAATTGAACTTCTTGCCATGTGCTGCAAGTGTCATAGTCTGATCAGAAGTCTTTTTCTTTAGTCGAATATCCTTCTGAAGAATTCGGAAAATCAACTTGTAAGAATCTTTCAAGTCAGCAGTATCCACTGATGAGATGAATGAATTCCATGATTCCAGGAGTGATATAAGCAGTGTGATAGAGCAGTCCTCCTCCTTGACTTTCTGCTTAAGGGATGCCAGCTCCTCCTGATAGGACCTCAAAGTCCTAATATGCTTCTCTATGTTTTCTCCTTTTTTGCACTGAGCTCTGAAGAATTTTCTTCTGACAAGGACAATTCCCATGGGTCCTCTAGACTCATACATATCTTCCAGAGCTTTCCAGGCTTCTGCCAAAGTCTTTGAACCAGTAATATATACCAGTGGGCCATCAGAAACCCACAATCTTATTGTTGAAAGAGTCTTCCTATCACTCTTCTTCCAATCTGCCACCAGTGTCATGTCTGCCAGAGCTGGAATGCTTCTATCTGCATAATCAATCAGTCTTAAATCAGTTAGGATATCGATCACCTTGATTTTCCATGTCAGATAATTTTCTGGGCCCTTAAGGGGGTCAATTCTATACATGGACTGGCTATCCATGTGGTTCTACATGTGTATGTAAAGTATGAAAGAGTGCAAAGTGAGTAGTGACATAAGTTCAGTTATGGCTGAGGCCCATAACCTGTTATAAGTAGAGAGCAGAGTAATGTAACAGAGAACTAGAATTAGCCTCTCGAGAGAAAAACATTCTACTTAAATACATTTTGTATTACTTTGAGATCTTTCTACAAGATACTAAATAAGTTCAGATCATGATCCAAGTCAGCTGCTGCTGACTGGCATCATATCTTCGAGTATGTTCTCATACTCACTCAGGATTGCTATCCCAACACTTTGGATGGTCTGCCGGTAGTAGTGAATACATTGTTCATTCATTTTCCTTATTTGTTGGCATAGTTGTTGCACTTGGCATCTGGGTGAGCATGGGAATATCTGGTGCTCATATCAATCCTGCGGTATGTGTTATCATATTCCTGTATGCAATCAAACTCAGAACTTTCAAGATGACTCTTGCTCTCTCCACATGGCATGGTTTTTCCTGGAAGAAAGTCTCTGGTCAGACTTCTCACCTATTTCTTAGGTCCTTGTTCTGATGCTTATGTCTGGTAAGCTATGCTTAGTAGTACTTTTTTACTTAGTATGTAGTACTGTATTTTGCAAAATTTTACATATGGACACATTCAAGGCATGTCAATGGTACCTACCCTGTGAGATTTCCTCTCGACTCCTTCTCATTGTTATGTTTTCTGATACCAGTTAGAATATATGATGAATGTTTCTTGTTTCTTCTCAGAATTTATAGGCACTGCAGTGCTTGTACTCATTATTCTTGCTACTATTGATCCAGGAAATACACCACCTCCAAGTGGACTTTTCCCCACCATCCTTTTCATTGCATTGCTTGGTATATCAGCCTCCCCAGGTATGAAAAGTTTATGTGTATTCACTCTCCACTTCTCCTGCACTCCTGATTGTACTTGAATAGTCTTCATGTTCAATCCTGCTTGTGATCTGGGTCCCAGAATTGTCACATCAATGGTCGGTTATGGGAGACATATCTATACTTACTCAAAGTAAGTGTTTTAACCATGCTGCCATGAACATCTCTCTCACCAAGGCTTCTACACAGTCAATATTAGATCTGGTGCCCTTTTATGAGACTGATTTTTTTTGGTGCTCAGTTGCAATGACATTTTATGATGTATTCCTGTTCCAAGGCTCCAAAAGTATATTAACATGCACCATCTATTTTCTATGGAGTTTTCAAACCTTTGTTGAATTCTACTAAAGGAGCAGTTCATCTAGAAAGTGACCAGAGGATATGGTATAGAGCAAAGTAATCCATCAACAAGTTGTATTGGTAAATTTCTTCAATAATCTTTGTATTATAGCCTGATCGGCTTCATGTCCATTGTGAGAGTTGATGCCTACTACCTGTGAATACTATGAATATATTTTGGCATTGTTCTTTTTTGAGACTAGGCTAGTTGACCAGGGGGGTACTGAATCCGCGTTTCTTGGTAAACCTGGGTCTACACTACTGATAACGGACACTCCATTTACTCATTAGAGGTATAACAGTAAAAGTGTTTGACATCACGTGATCGTGGTGTTGTCCACTCAATTAAACGTTGAATTCAACTTGTACTTTGCTCTGATATTTATCTTCCAGGTCGCTCTTCTGATCATTCCTCCGCCTTGCAAGAACACCCAAGGCCTCAACCTTGGCATCGACTTGGAGCTGGTTGCCTGTACGATGTGCTTCACGGCACCGCTTTTCAAGTTCTGACATTAAAATAAATTGTCGTTTCGCTTGGGTCGGCATCAGTGCAACAGAAGGAAACGTATAACTTTGGATCTCGCTGCTTGACTACATGTAGAGGAACATCAATGAAGACCTCAACAAAAGGAAGCGATGCCTCTTGCGAAATCCCGGTCTACACGATACGGCGAGATGAAGGCAATGATAGTGATGGATGTAGAGTCGGCGAACGGCTCAGAAACCTGGTGCACAGCAGGAATGGGCATCAATCAATGCCTAGAGACGACGATGTATCTCGCATCTCCGACGTATATTCTCGCACCTCGACTTTTCGTCAAATCTGATATCCTTATGAATCAATCCAAACAGTACATTGTCACCGTCGAGGTGGTATCAAATCTTATATCGGATGTTGCTACGATTTCCTCACATGAAACAGGGGTAGTAACGACCGGTCCAAAGTGATTTTGTCCCCGTCATCAGCAGGACGGACATCTCTTGGTGGGTACATATAAATTCTCTGAGTGAGTACTTTCGACCTGCTTACATTCCTTCTGATTCAATCTTCTCTGGTTCAGTGCATCTCACTTCCCACCTAGATCATGCAGGCCATCGTCGCTCTGTTCTTCATTCTCACCCCAGGTGTTTCGTCGCGCACTTTTACGGTTATGAATTCGTGTTCGTATACCATCTGGTGAGTCTTTATCTGCGTGGCCCTCGCCAATTCAATCGCGTACTTTCTACCCCTTATCTAGGCCTGCTGTGAATATCCTCTTCGGTGCTTGTATCCTGTCGCGTTGCTTATCCATTTTAGATCTTTACGGATTTGAACGTAGGCCAGGCGGTGCCTGATCACAATACTGGGTGAGCGTTATTCTTGTTTCTAGTGTCTTTGGTTCTGATATGGATCTAGTTGGGAAGCCCCTGCAGGCAGTTCGGTTTCATTCAACGTACCAAGCAACTGGAGTTCTGGGCGCATCTGGGTTAGTTACTTTTTGTGACATTACACCTATCTGATGACGGAGTCTGGTCGTAGGGACGCACAGATTGCGACTTTTCGAAACAAGGACCAGCTTTCTGCGTTACGGGAGGCTGTAACGGAGGCCTTCTTTGTGATCCTCATACCGGAACGGTAAGAAGCTCCAGTTCATTAATGATGCATTTTGATTATGCTTATACTTGTCGACAGGGTGTACCCCCGGTGACCGTAGCGGAATGGACGTTGGCAGCCGACGAAGGGGGAGAGGATAACTACGATCGTAAATCCCTGCCTTTGAAGAGATGCAGTTGAGGCTGATTGTCGCAGTCTCCGTTGTAGATGGCTTCAGTGTGCCGATGCTCGTCACACCCACTGGTGGCTGCAAAGCGCCCATCTGTGCCGCCGACCTAAATGCGAATTGTGTGTGTTTTATTCCAATCATGAATATTAAACCTCAGTATAGTTCGATCAAGGCCCACAGGAACTCGCACTGGCAGGACCAGATGGAAAGACGGTCGGTTGTAAATCTGCGTGCCTGGCTGAGACGCCCGAGCAGAAACGTATGTACTTTTTCATCACGTCGTCGATCCTGGCTGAATTCTGTCTGTTCAGAGGACTCACCCAACTGTTGTACGGGTTCTCACAATGTGGCTGCGACTTGTCCTTCCTCCGGAGTGTCCTATTATAGCTACTTCAGTATGCTATTTTTTCATCTCTTTAAATGGTTGATTTTCTCAATGTGTACGAAGAGGATGCTTGTCCGACTACGTACGCGTATGCCTATGATGATAACACTTCCCTTTGGACGTGCCCAGGGGCTACGCAAGCGGATTATACAGGTTGGTTTAACGTACATATTCATGTTTCAGCATGGCTAATCCGTACTCTAGTGACTTTTTGCCCATCAGCACAATGATAAACTCTTGTCTATCTGGCTTTTATAGAGTTTGTCTACTTGTACACCGGGGTCTTGTTCTATACGGATATATAGCCTTTAGTTGTTAAAAACTCTGTGATTATCCGAACGCTCTCTGCAACATCTGTAATCGAAGTATCAATATGAATTTCTGGGTTCTCTGGAGCCTCGTATGGGGCAGAAATGCCCGTGAACTCTATCGTTGGGTGTCAACATGGTATCTGAGCAAAGTAAAGGTCGATGAAATGCACCCTTGATTTCTCCTGCGCGCGCCTTCTTGTACAGCCCCTTTGGATCCCGCTGCTCGACCACATGTAGAGGGGCATCAACGAAGACCTCAACAAAGGGAAGCGATGCCTTTTCGTGGATCTCCCTTGCGAATGCCCGGTCTACACGATACGGCGAGATGAAGGCAGTGATAGCGATGGATGCAGAGTCGGCGAACAGTTTGGAAACCTGGTTGCGCAGCGCGGATGAGCAAGATTAATCAATACCTAGAGACAACGTACCTCGCTTGTCCGACGTATATTCTCGTTCCTCGACTTTTCGTCAAACCCGAGATCCCTGTTCAATCCAAAACGGACATTATCACCGTCGAGGCGATAAGAGATCTTGTGCAGGTGGAGGAGATGCTGCTCTAATGCACATGCGATGGTTGACTATAGCACGCCTCTGTCAGCTCTTTTTACGTGAATCATTAGGGTAGGTATCAGTAACGAACCTTGCCACTGGCGCTCAGCCCCGTCAACCAAATCGTCACGCCCTTCTGGCTGAGCAACGTCTTTCGCTCTTCCGGAGAAATGGAGCCTTGAAGGGATATGGTCACCTCTTAATCATGTTTGGTGACCGGGCGTACCAGGGTGGAAGGTGATGTTTGTGGCCATCGCAGGAGATCAATAGGAGAAATTTTCTGGCTATGGGCTTTCGTCATCTTGACGCGATCGATGAAAAGCGGGTCTCCGAAAAAAAATAATAATATTTGTGTTTTTGACCTTCCATCCTGGGAAACCGGCAAACAAAAAGTGGGCTCCGTGGCTTAGACTGTTTACCTCCTGCCACCATGCTTCTGCAAGAGTTAGTCGACATGATAGTCGACTACCTGCACGCATCGCCCTCTGCGCTTAAAGCATGCTCACTTGTCTCTCGAGCCTTCTACCACCGAACACGTGTCCATTTCTTCCGCTGTGCCGATTGAGACAACCCTGACAGTCCCCGGTCTATGCGCCTCTTTACAATGGTGCACAGGTCTCCTAATCTGCTCCAGTATATCAAGCGAGCCGAATTTGGTGCCTCGACTTTTTCTTAGTCGAGTATGAGAGTTTCACCGTCAAGCTCATGCGCTCCCTCTCATCCTCTGTGACACTATCCCTCTGGGACGAAGGCTGTCTGAATGACAATTCGGACCAAGTATGCTAATGGGCCAAGGTTTTACCTACGTTCTGGTACTCGGCTCCATACCTTGCCATCACCAGACTCGAGATCTGCGTCCCCAATGGCACGGATTCCTACAGTTCCACATCATTGTTCTCTGCCTTCCCAATGTGACGGGCTTGTACATACAGGCCTTGTGCATTTCTGGCACGGACGATGCCCCTATCCTCCCGACCATGTCCCCCTCTCGTATCAAGAAGATGCATATCGACGCCTACTGCTCCATGATCTCCCCATTCTGGGATGGCTTGTGTTCTCCCGAATACCGGTCGGTGTACCTCGATCACCTGGAAGAATTACATGTTTTATGCCCTTCTCCCTATGAACTTTCTTCGGTCAACAACATTGTCAAATTCGCCTCCAAGAGTCTGAAGGTCCTGCAGATCGAATGTCAACAATGTGATTCCCCTATGTTTCATTTGCCCTTTACTCGTTACACAGTCAAGGACTGGGTTCTCCCGCCTGATATCCCCCGTCTTGAGTTGAACGCCATCACTGACCTGTGGCTTGGCAGAGAATCTTCGAGGAGCTAAGTGACCTCTCAAGGCTAGTTCAGAACATGGATTATGTATTTCAGTGATATAAAGGTCCTTTTAGAGATGCCATTGTGGACTCATGTGCGGTGCTGAAAGAGAAGGTGAACTCGAGAGTTTTTGATAGTGGAGAATGCTTTTGAGGTGCCTGTGTTCCCCTTACCCAGCTAGCAGTAGAATTACATGTTTTGCATCTCCTCGCTCTGCTCCTCGCCATTGGGCTCCTCATCATCATCGCCAGCATCCATGTCTGCCGGGTCGACGTCCATTGCATGGGTGGGTACCGCGTCCGCCTCGTAGCCACTACAGGGCGCGATGTCGCTCCACTCCTCTGTCGTCACCATCCGTGTCGCTTGGGCCAGTGTCATCATCGGACGACACCATAGTGGCATTCGCCATGCCGACTGAGGGGAGCGATGTCGGAAGTGAAAAAGGAAGGGAATTCACATTCTCCTATAATCTCCAATAAGTCCTGGCAGAAAGTGAGACTGTGAACCGCATTCTCGCAGATGCTGGGGTTGCAGAAGCACTACAAGAAAGGGCAGATCTGCCGGAGGATTGACACCTGCTGTCAGTGGAGGATGGAGGCAGGGATGCCAGAGACATGAGCAATGTGAGTGGTCTTGTCTTGCAGGAGATTCAGTGCTATCAAAAGCATAGGGAGGATGAAGAGGACTTACACAGAATCAGATGGATTTCCTTATCCAATGGGCATGTGCAGTGGTGCAGACAGTCCTGTTCCTCTGGGTCAGGTCAGCCATGATTGAGTTGTATAATGAGTGGGCATGCTCTGCAGTCCAGTCAGATGGCACTCCCTGCCAGTGATGAAATTTTAAGTGAATGAAGTTGGAAGGGGGAGGCATCACAAAGTGCAGACAAAGGTGAGGAAAAGAGGGTCTTAGCCCCACATGCCTGTATCTTATACCTTGCTATCTGCTGTCACCCATAGCTCTCACACTAGATTTCTGTCGCCTCTCTGCTCAAAATTTGACTGGCATGCTCTGTGGTGCAATCTGAGCCTCAATCCACTTCTTCTCCACTCTGCTGGAACATTTCTCATGCTTCTTTGTTACATTGAATTTCAGGATCCTCCACTCCTGAGGAAAAACCTCATGCTCTTAGGTTTCTAGAATGATAATAGGTATTATATCTGAATGTTCTTGGCCTTATTTCTATTGATCACTGAGATAACACTATGATAGCAACTTGGGCATCTTTATATTGGCCTCTATATTGTGGGACTGAGGCTGATATCATCTGATCTGCCACACAGTGGTAGACCAGCCTACATGTGCATCTCAGGGCAGGTCAGCTTGCTGAATCTGCTAACCTTGAGCAGCTTACTGCAATTGCCTCATGTTATGATTTTTCCCTTTTATTCTATGATTCTACTCCTATTTATGCTTAGTCAGGATGCATAGGACCATGGGAGAGCTTGGTCATCACAACTAGCCCATCCATCATTCATCTTAAACAACGATGCTCGACAATGCACAAGCAACCTTTTATGTACTGTAACAATGCTCAAGGACAATAGGCACTATGGACACAGACAGACACAATTAGTGGTAATATTATTAGCACAACTTGTACAGTATTTAAGACCCACAGCTCTCGCTGGTATACTCCAGCTTCAAGCTAAAGTTTACATTCACTATTCTACCTCGAGTCTATACTTGATCTTGAGTCATAATCAGTGAGAAACACATTCAGTGGACTCAGCCAATTCCTCAAAGTGCAAAGGGATGGCAGTTTACCATGTGGTATCGCTCACATGACACCTGAGCCTAACAATTAGCTTGAAGCTTCGACTTCCCTTTCTCAAGCCCAATTGTGCTGAGAAACTGAATGCCCCCTACAACCTCTACCAACCTGAATTTCAACCACAAGTTCTTTGAACTCCTCTCTTCTATCATTGGAACATTGATAGGATTGTTGGTGATCATCCAGCTATGCCAGAAATGCCATTCAATCACCACTTGGGCTCTCAGACATTACAATGAATTTCTATGAATCTGCAAAATCCTACAAAACGTAACCCCCGACCTTCCCCTCCATGACATTCCTGAATCCTGAAGAATGACCTACCAGTTCCCAGAAGCTGAGCCTAGCAGCATGAATCAGGGGAATGGTCAAGAAGAAGCAGGAGGACAACATTCTCTTCAACTCAGACACTCAGACTCTGGTGTCTCAGGTAGACACAGTATACTTGTACTAGAACCCCCCTCCAACCATAAGAATGAAGACCTCCCAGAGGACTTCTTCTGACAGTTTCCCTCCCCCTCTTCCATCTCCTGAACCCATAGAATTGCTGACCATGCCAGGGACTCTCTCGATGCCCCTCAGATGGCTCAGCAGTCAAATACCAGAGCTTCTTGAAGCCAGTCTCACAGCCTCCATCCTTCCACCAGGGCCAGCTCTAGAGTGGGGAGGGTTCTCTCAGATGACAAGCAGCGATGACAAGTATAGGAAGAAACTGTCCATCGGTACTTCCCAACCTGAGACTTCATCATCCCATTTAACTACAACAATGCTGTTCAACAGAAGGAGTGAAGGCAGCAGAATGAGCTGCAGCCAGTATGTCATGAGCCTGAGGGGCAAGCCACAGTTCATGAGCAGCAGAGGCAGAAAGCTATGCAGTATGATGAGCACCATAGAAACGAGCAGCAAGAAGTCAAAAGGGTCCAACTGGAAGCAGCCAACATTGGAGACTGGTATAGAATATGGCCTGAGGTCACAAGCATTCTCACTCCCATATGAGCTGACCCTTTCACCTCTGCCTCCATCTTTTGAGAACCTAGCACCTCAAGCAGTGGAATACTGGAATACTGGGCTGATGGCACCTGAACCAGATGAAACCCAAGACCCCCAACCCTCCAGTACCCTCTTTCATTATGAACCTCCAGCGCAGACTCCATCTTCAGGAGTGATGAGTCTGTTCTTGAGCACTACAGACTATGGGTTCCCAGAAATGCTCACATTCCTGCTTGCACTCTCTGAGGTTTTCTCGAAAGTAGGGTTGTCAGGCAGCTTATCGATGATGACTACCAGCACAATGTCTGTCTCTATTGTGATAGAGTGGAGGTGACAAGAGCAACTGGGGGAAACTGGTATAACTCCAGCATTGGGAGCTGCCCAGCCACCACCTATGAAAACCCCTTAGTCGTTGGCCTGAGTACTCAGCCAAGAGAGCAAAGCGACGATATAACAAGAGGTCAGGGAGAGTATTTATGACCAGCCTGCTGGTTCCCTCCTTGAGAAGGACGATGAGGATGAGGAAGAAGAAACGGAGAGTAGCAACCCCCCTAGGGGTCCACCATATGACTCGCAGGAGAAGACAGATGAAGAAGAAGTGAACAGGTTGGCCTGAGAGGAGAGGACACAGGAATATCAAGGGTATTACCTGCAAGAGATAAACTTCTTATAGTACAATGCTGCCTGGGTGGTGTTGCAAATGGGACAATTATATTTACATTCAGACACTAACAAGCAAACAGAAATTCTGAGATGGGCAGCAACCAACTATGCAGCCCAGACATACAATCAAAGACACCCCGAGTATCTGGTAAGCTGACCACTGGCTTATCAGGTTACTCTGATTATATGACCAATGCTGAGAATCCCCTCTATTATGCTAAAATAAGCCATATACTGAGCCCCATCAGCACGAAGTACCCTTACACACTCTGACTATTCCATTCAAACCACAGCAACTTGGCTGACCAGGGTCTGAACCTGGCCCATAACAGAACATTAGAACCCTTGAACCAGCAAAGGAGGCTGGCTTTTAGGAGGACAACCACCCCCCAATCAGGCAGGAACCAGTGGAACAGGAAAGAAACCCGAACGAGATGACTCTGAGGCCACCTGCCTCGGATTTACTGTTCGAAATAGGGTCATTGTCTGGATCAAAGACCCGAAGGGGAGTTTGGTTGCTGATGACAACTTGCTCCACTCATTTTCAGAGCCACCAGCAGAATGGCAACAGCCACCATTTGCAGGATAACCCAACCCAATGGAGGTGCTGCTGGAAAATGCCAATGTCCTCCAATGTTGCCTCGACCTTCTTCGGAAACCCCACCCTTTCAAAGGGGCATCCGATGACATTGACAGATTTCTGGTAGATTGCGAACAGTACTTTGAAGTCTACATTGGGTATCTAGGAACTGACATGAACAAAGTCGCCTTTGCCACTTCCTACCTAGAAGAGAAGGCCAAAACATGGTACAGTTGACTATCTCACAATGCATATGGTTGGGAGACACCAAAACCATATGCATTTATAGATTTATGCAGAACCAAAATAGCATATGATGTGATATGTGACTTTATGTGACAATGTTGTCATTTCTCCAAAATGCTGTCAGTGGCTTTTGGGTCAGCTTTCTATGCATCTCCTTGAATAATGCCCCTCTCAACTTCCTCAGCTGTGGTACTAATCCACCCTGGTCACCTTGTAAAACACAAAATGCCTCCAGCTTTTGAATAAGCTCAAATCCTTTCCTTGTAGTTATCAAGGTCTGTTCTTTCTCACCCTCCTCTTCCTCTTCTTCCTCCTCATCATTGTCAATGACAGTTATTTCCCCATTTTCTACTGCAATATCATGCTTGACAGCAGCAACAATCTCCTCATCTGTTGGCATCACCTCAAGATCTTCAGTATATTCTTCTGCAATAGAGTTAACCATCTCTTCAATGGTTGGAATGGGACCAAACATGTGATTTCATTGTTTCAATTCAACAAGATGGTTCTTCAACATTATCTCTGCTGTCTGGAGCTGTTGAATGAGGGCAATTTGGGTGGGAGGTGTGTTCATTTTTGACTGTGACAAAGAAGCCAACTGATTGACTGCCTCCAGTGCTTTACCAACATCATTCTCTGCATTCATAACAGCTATAAGAGCAGGACACCAGTCAGCATTAGCATATTGGTTTCCAAGTAGATCCTGCAATACCTGTTCGATCCCTGGAAGCATGTATTTGTCTGTTGAGGCAAAGTTACAAACAAGGTTCCATGCAGACTTGAGGAGTGAGGCATCTTGAAAATCATTGGATGGTGTGGTAGACTGTGACTCGGATGCATTGTCAGGCATTATACCAGTGTGTTTCCAGCAGTTTGCTATCATTTCACTGCTGACATTTGCCCAAGCATCATGAGCGATAGTCATAGCTTCAAGGAGATCAAGCTTGAAGATCTCAGACTCTCCAAGATCATTGAGATCAAGTGCATGGATACACATGGCATTCCGATAATGTGCCTTGAAGCAGTGGATAATACCAGCATCTAGCAGCTAAACATATAGAGTCATATTGGGCTCGAAGAACTCCAGCTTTGTGTTATAGGGTGTATAAGCGATGGAATGCCTTTAAAAGTTGTCCAAGGTCAGCAGAACCTGCTGCATCTCTCACTTCATTTTTAAATCAAACATCTTCACCCACTCTGTAAATATTTTGCTCATCATCCAGGCCTTCTTGTTATTCTGATAATAGAATCCCATTGCCATTGGACTTTTTTTCTTGAAACACTGTGGTTGCTTTAACTTGCCAATGAAAACAACTGGCATTCGCTCACTCCTATCTGCATTTACAGCAAAACACATAGTGATGTGGAACTTGTCCTGTTTTCATCCACTCATAGAACCAGATGCCAAGGTATGATCTAGGATGGCAAAGATGACAAGACCAGATTCATCAATATTCCATCTGTTCCGCATTGCATATTTCACCATAATGCTGTGAAGACACACATGTTCTTTTTTCACTGCCATCATATCCACTGAGCCTGCTTCTCCATGCTGCCGAACCTCCTGAATCTTCTATGCCTTGCAGAATGACCTCAACCATCCCTCTCCTTTCAAACACTGATTCTCTGGAATATTCATCAGATTTTCAATCTAATTTCGCTTCTCTATCAGCATTGCACCAGTCACAGTCTCATCTCGGAGCTGCATGGTCTGATACCAGGATGCAACAGCATGCTCCACATCAGGTCAGATGACAATATGAGACTTTTTGGATGATAGTGCATTAGAGTTCTCATTTGCACACTATTCAATTTTTGTACGAGATGCCAGTTTCTGTGAAAGAGTTGATTGGGTAAAGAGCAGTGCACCTTCCTTTTGGTTTGTGAAATGTGCCACAATGTCAGCATGTCGATAGGAAGGATGGTTATCAACATATTTGAATACTACGAGCCAGTCTCCTGTTGTGAGATGTGGGTGGGAGATCTGCTTTGGAGGCTGAGCTGATGATATGTATATTGGGACTTTCTCCTTCTGTTTTGTATGCTCATATGGATTTCCAGGTTTAGCATATGGTTTTCATGTTGGTTTAGGAGGCATGTTTATAGAGATATAGGCTGTATCGCTTTACAATAATTTTTTTTGTGTTTGTCATAGTCCATACAAACAAATTATGTTCTTTATTGTTCTAATATATGCATAATGTCATATCAGCTTACTATAATTTTCGATCTGACAATGCATATTCCTAACTAGAACTATATGCATTATGCAATATGTATTTCTAGCCCATTTTCCTGCTCCTCAACTGCGTTCCAGCCCAATCCATATGCAAAGTCAGAATTATGCATTTTGACATCATGCATTGTGAGATAGTCAACTGTAGATTTTTATCTCCCTGAACTTCTGGTCGAACACATGGGGACATTACCGGTATCCATTCTGGCTGGTGTTCAAGCATATGTTAAATGACAAGTTCATTGATCCAGCAGTACAGGAAGTGCATAAGCAAAAGATTAAGAAGTACAAGATGGGAGATAAGGCAGCTATGGATTACTTTGATAAGCTGGAAAGGCTCACCAAGCTGGCAGGAATATGAGATGACATAGCCAATAATGGCCAAATAGTTGAGGCCCTCAAAAGAGGAGTTCTCCCTTTGTACCTCATGATGATATCTGCAATGGGTGTCAGAAATCTGATGCCCATCAGGTATAATGAATGGAAGGAACGTATCATCAAGATGTACAAGGAACAACAAAGGCAGAAAGCAGAATCGACGACCCTACAAGACAACCCCAAGAAATCGTTCTCGCCAACCCTGAACAAGATGGGGCAAACTGCTGGGAAATCATTGGGAACCCCTACAGCTTCAGCTTATGGGAGTCAGAAGATAGAAACTGGAACCACATACACTGAGGCAGGAAAGCCCATGGACATAGATCGGATGAAGAAGGAAGGAAAATGCTTCAACTGCGGACTGAAGAGCCACATGGCCAAGGACTGCCCAAAGAAGAAGCAGACCCACAAGGATATCCAAGTGCAGATCACTGAACTGCAAAAGGAAGAAGAAAGTCTGGAAGAAGAGACCAAAGTTGAGGAGGTAAAAGATAGGGCCAGTTAGTGAGTGATTCCACTAAACTGGCCAGACAATTAAAAGGTGTGCCACCCATAGCTGCTAGTCGGACTTATAGTGCCCCTGTAGTTATCTCCATGTTACCACTACATACACATTCAAATATACCCTGCTCTATGCACACCTCTGAATCACAAAATAAAACTCAAACACTTTCAGGCCAAACAAGGGCAGAGGGCCCTGATTCCTGGCTCAAACCATTTGATACTGAATGGACCTGGAGGACCATCAAAGAAGCAAAAACCAGGGCTGCAGTAAAAGCCATATTAACCAATTGGATACACCAAACCCAAACCAAGAAAGTAACCAACGAAATAGTGGAAGGAATAGAAAAGATAGAGCAGCATATAGCTCTCAAATAGCTTGATGAGCTACATGGGACCAGGAAGTTTATTCAATGCACCAAGACCCTCAGATGGGACCTGATAATGAAGGCTCAAATCAAAATATTAACTTCTCGAGCCATGTACTCTGTCAATGTTTTAGTCGATAGTGGGTGCATGGGGAGTTTGATAAACTGAGCCTTTATTATCAAAAACAAACTCCTGACCAGAACCACTGTGGCCTCTATTCCAGTTTATAATGCTGATGGAACAAAAAACCAGGCCGGCTTGATCACTGAGTTTGTTGAACTTTGACTGACCATCAGGGACCACTCGGAACAAATAGACTTAGCCATAACAGACCTCAGAACAAAAGAGATGTTCCTTGGTCATGATTAGCTCATATGGCACAACCTGCTTATAAATTAGAAAACCAGACAAATCACCTTTGTCTGGTGTTGATATCAGAAAATTCCATTTGAACTGCCTGATGAAGACTTGGAAGACAGGTGGGATGAGGAAATGGAGGATGGGGAGACAATCCTTGCTGTAGACCTGCAGAAGGAAATTCATGTTCGAGCTATTCATTATGCCAATGATTTAGCAGTGAAAGCCAAGGAGGGAAAAGCCAAAAAAACGTTTGAAGAAATGGTACTGAAATGGGCAAGAGATT